GTCCTTCAGTGATGGGCACCATGAAATTTGGAAGGGAGTCACCTGGCTAACTGACTAGGAGAGATCCATATTCATCCCCATTGGAAAAAATGGTGATGCAACAGAAAGTGGAAATTCTTGGACAATATTATTAGTAGAGCACCTACATAAAATTTTGCTGAAGATAATCTCAAAATGACAATTGCCAGAATTCAGGCCAGTCTCAGATATCGAATACAGAGTAATGTTGCTGATACATGATGGAACTTGGCTGAAAATGTAAAATAGCAGGGAGATGCTTGGCTATGGTCTCCTCACATTAACTACGCAAAGTCATTCTGTGTGGACATTAACAAATTATGGCTAGCACTGTGAAGAATGGGGAATCCAGGACACTTCAGTGGTCTTGCAGAACCTGTACATAAACCAAGAGGCAGTCATCCAAACAGAACAAGGAATACTGCCTGGCTTAAAACCAGGAAATGTGTGAGCCAGGGTTGTACCTTTTCCCTGTATTAATTAATCTGTATGCTATATCATCTAAGACGTGCCAGTGAAGATCAAATACTCAGAGGCTTCAGTATGAACTACCCGCCCCCCACATAAAGAAAACAGAAAATCCACTTGATCGATGAGAAAGAGTATGATAAATGGAGAGAAGATTGAAGTTGCCACAGATTTCTTTTCATTTGGACCCACAATCAATGTTCTTGGAAGCAGCAATCAGAAAATCAAACAACACATTGCATTGAGCAAATATCCTAAAAAGATCTCTTTCAAGTGTTGAAAACTAAAGATGAGACATCACAATGAAGAAAAGATACGCCTGCCTGAAGCCATAAATGTTTACTTGCCTCATATGCATGCAAAGGACTGAAGAGGAAGAATTGATGCCTTTGGATAATTGTGTTGACAAAGGATATTTCTCTCTTTTTAAAAATCATTTTATTGGGGGCTCCTACAACTCTTATCACAATCCATACACCCATCCATTGTGTCAAGCACATTTGTACATTTGTTGCCATCTTCATTTTCAAAACCTTTACTTTCTACTTAAGCCCTTGGTATCAACTTCTCATTGTTTCCCTCCCTCCCTCTTGAGCCCTTGATAATTTATAAATTATTATTATTTTTTCATGTCTTGCACTGACCCATGTCTCCCTTCACCCACTTTCCTGTTGTCTGTCCCCCTGGGAGGGGGTTATATGTAGATCATTGTGATAGATTCCCCTTATCTCCCCACACCTTCCCCTTCCCCTCCTGGTTTGGCTACTCTCAATATTGGTCCTGAGGGTTTTATCTGTCTTGGATTCCCTGTGCTTCCAGCTCTTATCTGTATCCATGTACATGCTCTGGTCTAGCCATAGTTGTAAGGTAGAATTGGGGTCATGATAGTGGGGGGAGAGGAAGCATAAAGAACTAGAAGAAAGTGGTATGTGTCATAAGTGCTATATTGCACCCTGACTGGCTCGTCTCCTCCCCGTGACCCTCCTGGAAGGGGATGTCCAGTTGCCTACAGATGGACTTTGGGTCTCCACTCTGCCCTCCCCCTCATTCACAATGATATGATTTTTTGTTCTGAGTCTTTGATGCCTGATACCTGATCCTATCAACACCTCGTGATCAGACAGGTTGGTGTGCTTCTTCCATGTGGGCTTTGTTGTTTCTGAGCTAGATGGTTGCTTGTTTATCTTCATGCTTTTAAGACCACAGACGCTATATCTTTTGGTCACCAGGCACCATCAGCTTTCTTCACCACATTTGCTTATGCACCCGCTTTGTCTTCAGAGATTGTGTCAGGAATGTGAGCATCATGGAATGCCAAGTTGTTGTTGGTGGTGGTGTTTTTTTTTCTTTTGTTTCTGTTTTTGTGCATATTATTATCTCTGCCTGTCTAGATAAGATAGGCAGGATAAACAATCTGTAGAAGAAAACAACAGGACCAATGGTTCTGGGGGGACATATGAGAGGGGGAGGCAGGGGAAAGGAAGTGGGTGTTAACAAACCCAGGGGCAAGGGAACAAGAAGTGAACTACAATTGATGGCGAGGTGGGTGTAGGAAGCATGGTAGGGCTTGATCAAGGACCATGTAACCCAGAGGAATTACTGAAACTCATATGAAGGCTGAGCATGATAGTGGGACAAGAGGAAAGTAAAAGGAAATAGAGGAAAGAACTAAGAGGCACAAGGGCATTTATAGGGGTCTAAATACAGGCATGTACATGTGCAAATATATTTATTTATATATAACGATGGGGAAATAGATCTGTGTACATATATTTATAGGTTCAGTATTAAGGTAGCAGATGGACATTGGGCCTCTACTCAAGTACTTCCTCAACGCAAGAACACTTTGTTCTATTGACCTGACAAAGGATATTTCATATACTGTAGACTACCGGGAATCCAACTCATACCATCAAATCAATGCTGGCTCACAGTGACATCCCCACCCACCCCGTGGGCTTCTGAGACAGTCTTTTCCCCTTGGAGCTGCTGGTGGTTTCAAACTGCCAACCATGCTAATTGCATGGTCAGCACTACACCACTTCGCCGCCGGGGCTCCTACTTGGAAACCCACAGGGGCTCACTATATGTCAGCACTGACTCAATAACAATGAGCATAGACGGCCAGGAAAACAAACAATCTATCTTTGAAAAAGTACAGCATGGTTGCTTTGTAGAAGCGGGGACATAGAGACTTTTTCTCACACAAGTATTACTCCCCCAGATTTTGTACAGCCAGTTCACTGACCTTTTACTTGATTATGTTCAGTGTACTCTAGCCATAATCATTACTCGTCTCTGTTACCATAATTTATATTCTTTGCATTTCTGCTCTACTCACTTGCACAGTTTCAGTATCTGATCAATTTAGTCGTTTGTTCCTGCAGGTTTGTTATATTTTACACAGTAAGTACTCTTATATTAGTTACTTCTCTGACAGTGGATACACATGGGAGATCTCTAAGTCTAGGGCTATTGAATGAATTGCCTCTTGACAATGATTTGCCTGTTCCTCCCTTTTTGTGTGGCTATCAGGTAAGGCAACGAGGCATATCCATTTTCATGTATACCTGGACACAGAGTTGCATAAGCCTAGGGGGTTGATGTAATGTAGTCAGGAGCTCAGCTGAATTGAGGTATTGTTGATACAGTGAGCCTCAGTGTACCATATGCT